AGCAGTGTCCATGTGCTCCTTGAACTCTGGCGAGCACGTTACCGCAACCAGTTTTGTGGTCACTGTGCTCTGTTGAAGTTTGCAGCCCGTGCTGTCCCTGGGGTTGCTGGGTCCCCTGTGAGCAGGGAAGCTGAGGCATATGGGTTCTTTTCACTCCCATCTAGGAAAGACTTGAAAAAGAAAAAAAGCTGACAAGGGACTTGGGCCAGGCGGCAACCAAACTACAGGAGCTACTGAAGGTTACCCAGGACCAACTGGCCAAAGAGAGAGAAACGGTGAAGAAGTTGAAAGAACAACTTCATGAAAAGGTACTTGTTCCCAGGACTGGGACAGATGCCCAGCTGTGGCAGTTGGCCATCCCTTCTGCCACTGGTGGAGGTTGCAGGAGTGTGTCCTGTGGTGGTTTAAAATGGAATGCAGTGGGGATCCTACTGCCAGAAACCATCTGGCCTGGCCGGCTTTGGGCAATGCCTGAGGCTGTAGTGGGTGGTGGTCAACGTTCTCCCTGCCCACAAGGGGAGATCTGGCCCGTCTGGGAAATGCTTCGCTGCTTATCCTACAGTGAGAATAAAGTTGGGACCCAGTTGAGTAACTCACCTCTGTTCTCCTTCTCCAGGGGGAAGAGGACAGTTCGAAGGAAGGGACTTCAGTTTGATGAGTCTGTGACCTAGAACGTACCGTTCAACTTACCAAATGCCTTACACATTCCTAAAACAAAAATATATGCTGAATTTATTGTAGATAAGATACAATACAAGCCATTAGTGACCCACAACCTAGTTTTGAAACTTAAGAAAAAAAAAAAACAGAAAAAAAAGCAACAGTGCAGGCGTACATTTGTAAGAAAATCTTCATACTGTTTTGTACAACCATTCATTCCCCTGGGTGCTGCTCTGGCCGGGCTGGGGCCAGGACGTGACCCTCCTCGAACCCACGAATGTGTGAAAAGGGAAGGCTGTGTTTGTACATCAACTGGTGCAATTATTATTATATATATAAATATATATATATATATATTATTTTTTTTTTGAGTGAAAGAAGTGTGAAAGTAAGACCCATGATGGAAGGAAGCCACTTGATGGGTGGCTCAGGGCACGTATCCTTCTGTGTATTTTCTGGGTGTCGATGCAATTAAAATGACGTAGCGGGGAGAGCTGCTTCCTGCTTTATTTCTCTGGTTATTTTTCATGTTGGCAGGCTGCTGGGCCTTGGGCGTGACTGAAGGATGACCCTGCTGTGGCCAGAAGTGGATCCTCTGCTCCTTGCTGTGCTGTAGCAGCTCTCCCCACTGTATTTTCTCCAGTATGTGTGAAGGAGGTGCAGAGGCTGAGGCCACAGGGGGATGCAATGGGATGGCTGCTCCTAGGGACAGGTATGGAGGCTTTCCCTGCTGCTGGTGGGAGCAGCAGAGACTTCACACAACTGAGGCTGGTGGGCATCCCCAGCACAGCCTTGTGGTTGACACATCAACGCTGCAGTCAGTGCATCAGTGAAGGCTGATGGTGTCTCCTGCCCTTTGTAACCCACCAGAACAGCAACCAGAGTGGGGCTGAGTGCCTCCCACCCCAGTGCCACAGGGTTTTTGAGGTGGGGACTGTGGACTTTTGATGTGGGGTGGAGCTTATGCTCCTGGCTGGAGGGGAGCTGGTGGCTGCAGGCTGGTGGCCTTGGGCCCTCTGCCCTCTGCTTCCCTTGCTTCCAGCCCTCTGAGCACAGGAGGCTGAGTGCCTGGCTTCTGCCTGGCTATATTAGGCTGCTGGCAGGATGTGCTCATTGACCCAGCCCTCACCCTGCAGCCATCATTAGCCATCAGCTTCCTCTTCTGGCTTTGGGAGGCTCTACTGACCCAGGCAGTAACAAAAAAGCAAAACCAGGAGAAACCAACCATAGGTTGGAATGAGTTGTTGAGTGTAAGGGGGTGGCCATCATCCAAACAGCAGTCGGTGGTGAGGGCCCCAAAACAGCCAGCACAGCAGTGATGAAACTCTTTGGTTTTTGGGTTTTGCTTTCGCAACAACCCGTTCCTTCACTCTGCTTGCTTGTGCAAAGCAGCACACGCTTAATGAGTGTGCACACAGGAGCAGTGAGGAAGCTCTTTAAGTACACAGCCAAAGCAAGGAGCGTGGACAACAGCATGCATGCTCAATGGGCTCCAGAAGCCAGAGGAGTGCAGATTTGGTGTCCTTGGCATGAGGAATGTACGTGTACTTTGGGACATCACCCAGCTTCTGTGTTTGGAAGGGAGAGAAGAGCTGGAGTTGTTAAGTAAGGCTGATGATGGAAACAGGTTGCTGGGGTCTGGTGGTTAAGCTTGAGTTCAGGTGCCTGGTGTGGTGCTGCTGGGATTTATGCTGTTCCATGGAGCCATGAGAAGGGGAAAGCCAACAACCTCCTGAGAGGCCAGGGTCGCCTCTCAGAGGGCCAACCCTCACCTCAGAGCAGTGGGATTTCACACTGCACCCACCCCTGGAGCAGCATTGCTCTTTCAGGCAAGCTGTAGTGCTGGCTCATTACCCGGTGAGCAGGTTGTGATGCAGGGCAGGTGGGAACAGCAGCCTGGGTGCTGCAGCCAGGTGGGTCCTCAGTCAAAGCTCAATGGCTCTGCTTGTGTCGTCTTTTCAAGAAGGTCTGAGTGATTTGGGAAAAGCCACGAATGAAAGGATTGGAAAATCATAAAAGGAAACATCTTTGCAAGTTTTATAATAGCTACAATTGTACAAGGGCAAGATGAAGTTTGGCTTGCTAAGTAACTCCATGCTGTGATCAACAAAGCTGAAGGCAAAGTAACAGCCAGCACAGGAGCACAGTAGCAGAGATCAGGCTTGTGCCTCAGGGTTTGCACCAAGGGCCCTAAAAACTGACCAAGTGAAGCTGGGACCCACCCAACCACAACCAAAAACAACATCTCTTGCCTCAGTCCCCTGACTGAAGCACTCTGCACCCAAGTTCCTGGCTTGAATACTTTCACGTGGTGAGAAGCATCCTCCTGCCTCTGCATCTGACTTCCTTCCCCCTTTGTTGAGGCTCTTCTCTAACCAAAAAAGGAAATCCCAGGGAGAAGTCCACCAGCTTCACCAGGCCTGGATTGCTCTTTGACGTTAGCTGCAGTCTGGAGGTGTTAGTTATCAGTTGACTCCTGAATGGGAGTTCCCCTTATTTGTCAGGCAGCACCACTCCCACTGTGTCACTGGTTTTCTTATCTCAGCCTGAACTTTGGACAGACACCAAGTACAGAAGAGCTGTTTTTATGGAGATGGTTACTCCCTTGTGCCAGGTTGAAAGTTGAGGGAACAGGCCAGGAGCACCCACTGATGCCAGTTTAGTTTCCTCTTCTGATAGGATCTCACTGTAGTGGATCATATCAGAAACCCTTGTGTGCTCCACGCGGGTACCACATTAGAGCACGTGGTCAATGCTTGCCTTTGATTAAATCTTCAAATACGCAGCACAGCCAAAAAGCACAGACACTGCATTAAGCCAGGGAGCAGCACTTCCCTGGTAGCGCTCTGCTGGAAAGCAGCAGACCAAGCAGCTGTCCCTACGTACCTGGCAGAAGGGGCAGCCTTTAACTTTCTGGGACAGGCCAGAGGAAGCTCTCCGTTCTGACAGGAGAAGCAGCACCAAGTAACTGACACAGGCCTCCACGGTGAGATGCTTCCCATGAAGCTCCCTCCCTGTGGCCATCTGGGACCGGAGCCCAGAAGGAAGGGAGCAGACACCACGGTGGATCCCGTGACTGCCACAGACTGCTACGCACTCAGCTGCTGAGGTGTGCGAGGCCAAGGAAGACATCGACAGGCTGCAGAGACATGGACATGCTTTCTCCCCCACTTCTCCTTCCAGCCTCTTTTCCCCCACTGCAAACTGGAGAGGAATCAGTCACTGACCGAGGGGAAAGAAACCCCATTTATTTAAGCTATTCAAGTTTGGCACACACAGAACATACCACAGTAACGCACTGGAGGCTAAGGGTTTTTTTTTCTTTTTTTTTTTTTCTCTACAGACATACAGGAAAACTCTATGCAACTTCCATGTACACATTACACAAAGGAAACAGCTTTAATTAACCACTGGTGAAACATGGAAGCTTTTAAGATCTCTGTAGCTGGCACAGGAATGTTCTCTACCCCCCCATACAAAAGGCATTTCAGGTCAGACTTTCTAGTAGGTGATATTTCCATGCATTTCTACAGAATTAAAGAAGCTAACAGACAAAAAGCCCAGATCAAGCCGTATTAGTCAGGCTGATTGGTTCTACCAAGTTAAATCAATAATAATTATGGACAAATGGACCAAGTGACCAAGACTGGGGCTGAGAACACCACTTGTAATCTTTTGCTGTTTTTCCAAGTGGTTCTTTCTCATTGTACTGCCCGTAACTGGAGAGCTCCGATGGAAGAATCTGCACTTGTCAAAGCCTCAGAAGCATCTGATCCGCTAGGAAATGTTAGTGGAAAAAAGGTAGTTCTAAATTAACCTATGCCAAAGGAAAAGCAATTTTAATAGAATCGTTCAGTTCAGCCTTGGAGGAGATCTCAAGACACTTCATAACCAATGTTAACCTGTAGGAACAAGCAAACCTTTAAAGATTACTGCACTGCGAGTTTACAAGAACGATTAGGACTTTCTCCAGGAAAGTGTGCCTACTTCCATCTCTATTTTATCCTCCTAATTAACCTTTATTAGTAATGCTGTGCAACTGCAAGCACTAAGAATTTAGCTCTGTTCAGGTGCCTAGCTTTAACTACAGGTTTGAAGTCTTGCATTAAATGATTCAAGGGGAAAGTTTTTAGTTTGGCAGTTTGGCCAGTAGCCTCAGAAGGACTGATGATTTTGCTCATTTTAATTTAGAAAAGAACAGGAACCAGATTGTTCTCATCATCCTCCCCCCTTCATCCCATGATACACTGCTGAATCAGAATTTTTGGAGACCTTTAGTGTTAATTCACTGGGGATAAGTATTGGGATAGACAACCAATGCAAATATTAATACACCAAGATAAATCCTTAATTTGATTTATTTAAGGTCATTTGTACATACGAGCTACATCTCCAAAATCTACTTTATTCTACAAGACAGCTTCCCTACAGTTAGTGAAACCCTTGCCTAGAATGGTTGCTTTACATAACTGATATATTAAAACATGGAATGCTTGTAGAGTTGTGGCACTGTATGACATCTACACGGGACTTCCTTCAAAAGCTACGACTAGGGAGCCTCCTAGCTTCTCAGCAATACAAGCTCGATTGAGGTCCTCTGGCCCATTTGCTTGGCATTCATGCTTTATGCCTAAAAAAAAGATGCAGAACACTCAATAATGCAGTATTTCAATATGCTAGTAATCAACCAGAGAAGCACAGTTAGTAGTAATATTAGAAGAGGCAGTCTGGTCACTCAAGCTGCAAAGTCCCACCTTCACTAAGGAAAACTAAGGAATTTGGGTTTATTCCCCCTCGATATATCACAGGAGACATCTGGCTACACATCACAAATCAAATACATGTATCAGGGAGAAGCTTTTCACTACTATCAGTGCTTGGACTGTCAGCTGCCCATGGCAAATCAGCCTGTGAGTGAAAGTCTCATTTCTACTGTTACCCTGAATATGTCAACTGAGGGAGCTGCTGCAACGCAAGCACTGAACAGCTGACAATCAAAGCAGGACGCGCTGTGCAGACTTGCTGGTACACAGAATTAAGAGTGGTTTCTGTTCCGGAGATAAGGGAGCCAGACCCAACTCTGCCTTATGTTGAGAAAAATAGAGAAAGCAGTGTTTCTTTTTCAGCCCTCACCAGCTTCAATTCATTGGTGAGCTGTACTGTGAAGAACAGCACTGCTGTGCACCGCTCAGTACTACGCAGTGCTGCACTCTGACCAGCACGGCACTAAGAGCTGAAGGGGGCTCTGCTACCGGGCTGGGAGGCATCACAGTCATTTATTCAGAATGAGATTTCAGAGTGCTGCAGCAAGGGTAACTCTTTGGTCACTGGTACCTGACAGGATGAACATCACTTTGCTTCTCCTCTCAGAGATGCAATGCCTTTGAAATGAGTAATCACAACTGCATCTCTAAGTCAAGCCAATCATTACTTCCTAGTACAGCACAGTTACTTGATTCTGCAGTTCAATAGATACAGGGCTGAAAGTCCTCTGCCACAGAGACAGCGTGACACAAAATACAGGTCACTGTTAACAAGAATGTGATGTTTATAGGCTGCATGGCGTAAACAAGTTACTCTGTATGGCAGCAGTTACTCTTGTACGCTGCCAAGCCTGCTCCAGTTCTGAGCACAGTTCTAGTGCCTCTAAGGCTCAGAGTCAGACATTTTAAATTTGGCTTCAGCCAGAGCTTCTTTTAGCTCTGTCACAAGGCACTTCACCTGGTGAAATTCTCATCTCGCTAGCATCTCAAAAGAAAAAAAAAAGCCAATTAGCAAATGGTTAAGCCTTGCTGTGTAAGTGTTTCAGATGGCACCTAGGAGTGTTAGCTGCACTACATACCTTGGAACTTCTTTTTGATTGCATCCTTGGAGCTTGCATAGATCATCTTACTTTTGAGAGGTGCTTGTTCTGGTGCCCTAGTGGAATACAAGAAGATAGTGCAATTAGCAGCATTTATTATCCAGCAGTAAGACAAACACCATCCCACTGATTATAAACAAAGGAAACTCTAATGGCTCGTAATACAAGTACCATGCTGTCCAGCACATTTTAAGCCTTCCACAGACAAAACAAATGCTCGTAGACCTCAGCACAGCTCGGGCCTCATGCTAGGAACAGGCGAGTTGTGAAGAGTGCTTACCACAAGAAGAACATCAGCTCTTCTTTTTTGGATTCCTTGGTCTCGAAACTTGCATCATACAAGGCGTAACGGCAATCCTTCTCGGGAAGCATCTGCACAAAGTGCTTGAAAGGGTCAGTAACCGTCACACCAACATCTCCCACTAGAATCTCTTTGCCTTCTTCCACAATAATGCACTTTTTGTCTGGACTGAGGCAGAAGATGACAGCCTTCTTCCTCTTCTTCACTTCCTCAGGCGTAGAGCATTTCCGCACTTTCATGTCATAGAAGATACGGCAAACCTCATCGGCAACTTGCACTCCAGATGCCTGCAAAGATGAGAACAAAGGCCTTTAGGGCTACCACTGAGTATTTGCACAACTACGTTACTGTGCTGCCTCCAAACTGAGGCTGGAAGACGAGCGATACTCGCAACACTCACTCACAGCCCCACAGTCTAGACAGGAGAGCTGCAGGCCCTTCTCAAATAAAGAATCTGGAGCCTCAATGCCGCCTACAGTAAGTTGCCAAACCAAAAGTACTCTGAACAAGGCACAGTCCTTCTTAGATTAGAACAGCGTTGGTAGGGTAGTTTCACATTTATGTCCACCCCTTGTCCTCTGAAATTTCAGTTGTGGCAAATCCTTTGATGTTGCAGCAGAGTGGCTTCATTGGCCATCTCGGGACAGGCAGACAACTAAATTAACAAGGGTCACTTCTACTCAGTCTCCTGGCCACTTCCAGCCTATCTGCCATCAGCTTTAGGAACAGAGGTACAATAGTGTCAAACCCACGCGTATCAACTGGGTTTGGCTTAGAAGTCAGGAGAGATACAGTGGGGCACTGGAATACAATTCTCAGCCACGAACAAACCAACCTTCTGAAGGTGCTCTCAATTCAGTGTTTTAAAGGCAGAGCTTGCAAGTCCAACTGTAAAAATTCTCAGCTTCCCCAGCAGTTCCTCTTCCAGTTTTTAAAACAAGCTGCCTTTAAAACGATTTCTTCACCCCATCCCATCTTTTTTTTTCCCCCACTCCTGGAAGCTTGGTGAGAAATTGTGGTTACTCAGCGGTAACAGACAGTATTCATATCTGAGTTTTACACTCAGAACAAAATGAAGTTTGAGAGGTTAAAGACAGCCCTAAAATAGAGAATGCCGCAAATCCAGGGAGTCACACTGCTGGAAAAACATCACGGTCAGAGCAGTAAACTGTAAATCAAAGCCTGTCCAACACTCATTGTGCTCAAACCGCAACGTGCCATGTAAACACTGAGATTCCTTCCTAATATTGCCTCTCCCCCTGCTGCTTTTGGGGCTTCCAAAAGTGACCTTATCCTCAGATACAGTAAGTCACGCACTGGAAGGAAAGTCACCCTCCTCCGTGTAACTGCCACACGTCATCATCTTCAGCACAGTCAGCACTACTATGCAGGCAGGTACAGCATCACGTGAGAGGTACCAACTGAAAAACACTGAAGGTTGTTCCTTGTTTTGGTTTCCCTTCAGCTCAGCCCACAAAAGCGTGCCCAATGGAATCATTTTGGGGGGGGAGAGGAGGGAGAAGGGGGATAAGATGCCAAATCACAGCACTCTCTCAAGGTATAAGCAAGTAGCAGAGTTCAGCTGGAATGCCAGGGAAATCAGTGAAGGTCAACTGCACAGTGCTAACTTTCCTGTCCTTAAGAGTCATTATGGATTGGACAGCTACTACTTCTAACATACATATATATTCTTTTCAAAGCCCTGACCACTGCATGTCTTTTTTCCTCTTCTTTCCCCCACCAGAGAGATCTGGATGCCAATGCTATACAGCCATCAATCTGACATGGAAGCTTTCCTCCACGAAACAGAGCTCTTTAGGAGCTTACTCAAACACAAAGGGACCCTCAGAATTTACAATGCACGGATTGTCTGTTTGGGGTAATCTACCTCAAATCCCTTACATTTGCTCTGGGAGAGGAGCAGGCCCACAGAACAGGAGGAAGTTGCTGTGCCTCAGCTGCCTGGCAGGCAGCCACCCTTTTGCATGTCTCCAGCAGCATAAGGAAAGCAAGCAGAGAAAGCTTATTCCAGGGTAACTACAAGCAGAAGTGCAAACATCAGTGCAAAGTGACGCATTCCTACATCACCTCCTTCATACAATGGACTGCACCTCTGTGAGAGCGTGGCTGGGAACTAATGAGAAATGAATGTATTTCTTCCTGTCTCTGCATCACTGTGTGTGGTGTGGGCAAGAGCACTCTGGGAGGACTGGAAATAAGGCAGGGTTGCCCTAATAATGCAAACAGCACAGCAACTGGAACTACGGCATCGCTCACTACAGCTAATGCACTGCCAACTCCAGACAGACATTTTTTCCCCTCCTTTCTATGAGATTTGTCTTCCAGGCTAATGGTACCTCAGCAGCTGACAGGAGATTTAAGTCTCAGCTTTTAAACCTGCAAAAAGCTTAGGAGTTTACACAGAAGATGCACAAAGTCTGACCCAGCACAGCCTAGTAATGCCATAAAAGGAATTGGTGTCAACCATCTCCACCTTTATCAACTGTTGATCTTTGCTCTAAGATCACTAGTTCCTCCTTATCGACTCCTGTTACCAAGAAGTTAACTCTGAAAGCAGGCATTACTACTCAGCAGAGAGCCCGAAAAAAGCATCAGCAATGGAGCTGCTAGTAGATGCAAACTGTGCAGCCAGGAGCAGATGCACAGCCAGAAACATTTCTCCAAGCTGGGAGTCAAGTTATTTCCTTATAAAGGAATTGAACACGGCTGGCAAGTTGCTTCAGATTCCAAAAATGTTGAGAGTACTCAGTCTGGAAAGTCAAATTCACTCTTACTCTGCAGCTGACCACTGGGACTGACCAGAGGCTGAAGGGGAAACAGTAAGAACTGGATTTTTTCTTAACTTTCCAAAGTAAAGTGTTTATTAGCTGGTGCAACTCTTCATAACTATTATACAACTTCTGAATCCATTCAGGAGTTGATACCAGCAGATGCTGATCTGCTGGGGATGGCATAGATTCCTTCATCCTGAGAAAACACTACAGCTGTGTCACAGCGTGGGGTTGAAATGAACCCATAAAATCCCAGCACAAGTGCTTCCAAGAAGGCAGCATACTCCTGCACCAAAAGGACTCCCTCTCCAGCTCCAGGCTTGTACCAGTTATGATTCTCTAAACATACCTAAAAAGGAAAAACCTCAACATTAGGTAGCTTTTTGCTGTAACTTGGCCACGGCCATTCAGGGTAGGGCAGCAACAGGATGACTGTGAAAGCCACTGGAACACAGAGAAATGCCACATGCCTAAGTACATGTTCTCAAGTGGTAATTTAACCATGTCTCTGCTGACCTGTCCTGAAAAACAGCTGCTGAGAAGCCTCCACCTGCCAGTAATGACAGGATAAGCATTTATTTGTTTGTGTGGATTCTCTCTGGCCCAGTGTTACACTGCTCAGAGGATTCAATACAGCACACTCATTATTTTTTCAGGCATGGTGGCCAGAATGCTGCATAGCTGAGGACAGATAGCTTGCTTCTGTTCCTTCTTCAATAGGGAAGCAATTATCCAACTCAGGACAGCACACATGGGTGGCTGAGCAGCGTGCATGGCAGGTACTGGTGGGACACAAGGCCATCAGCTGGCTGCATTTTGTAGCATTGGACAGAGCAACCCCTGAATATACGCAACAATAATTAAAACCATTCTCAGGACACAAGAGGCAGGCAAATAGCCAGGCTGTTCCCATGGGTGTCAGGGCCAGCTAACCTCATCAAGGCAGCAACAAGGAGGCAAGCTGCCTTGTTATCAGATGGAAAAAATGATGACAGGGCTGCATATTCTTGCCTGCACGTCTCCCTAACTGTGCAAATGTCCCCCCACAGGGAAGGGATTTAGCACAAAATGAGTTCTCCCCTCATACTTCCATGCAACTACGGCCAAAGCAGCATGCCTTGTGGGCTGCACCTCCGCCTACGTTATTCCACAGCCCTCACACCAGTACCCCATTGTATTTTCATATAGATTGCTGTAGGCACATGAGGTAATGGTTGCATTAAATGCCTTGTCAGCATGCACTGCAGTAACACAGCAGCTCTTATTCCCTTCACAAAGCCACCGTTCCTGCCTCAAGTGCAAAGCACTGCAGAAGCCCTGTGAGAGCAGAATGCTGTCCCCAAATAGCACGGCTGAAGAGAGAGCCTTCTGTCTCACAGGCCTCGGACTGCAAGGCCTGGCTCCAGCTGGCTCCGCTAACAGCTTCCAACACTTTGCCTTCATCACAAAGTACTCTGCAGCTGGAATTTCATCTGAACAGGGTGATAAAATGGAGGGGTAAGGCCGAAGAATAACCCAAAATTTTCCTCCAAGAAATCCCTGTGTACAGAAAGAGATTTCAAGTAAGGCACTTATCAGATCCTCAATAGATTGATTTGCAGCAAGCCTGCATAGAAATAGATCTCCAATGCAATTTGCATTGGATTTTATTAAGGATCGTTGTGAACACCAGCATATTTTCTGAATATTTAAAATACTTCACCTAGAAGGTTTTGCTCCTACATCAGCAGTAAGACAGACAGCTTTAATGACTTAGTTTGTCTCACAAGGAGCTTGACAGATTAAACCCGTTTTTAAGTGCACGCCAATTTTATGCTGCAGACTTCCTTTGTAATGTTTCTGTAGATAACAGCTCAGGCATTTCAAGAAGCAGTTCTTGCCTCGTTTTGTTTGGGAGCCACGTGCACACACATTGTATACATCAGCACGGACAATCCGCAGCTACTCAAGTGGAAAGTTCTCCCTCTTGGAAAAGCACCATCAGTTTTTCCAGAATTGACACCAAGAACATACTGAAGCACGCCTGGTTTAATTGCAAAGGCAGAGATCTGAGAGCACTGTGCGCCCATGTTTACCAGTCACACCACTGCCACATATTTGGTTCTGGGTTTCTTGAGCAAGCATCTTGTTTCCCCCAGCCCTGGCATACCATCCCTCCCAGCCACCTTCCAAATCCCCTTCCACTGCCAGAACTGTTTGTGTGACTGTGTGGCACTTTCATCTGACTCACCAATGTGTCACAGCACAAGTTTTCAGTTAGAACCATTATCACCTGACTGTTCCAGGACAGGAGACTGCAAAGCCGTTCCTTACACTGCCACGCAGCACCCTGAGATGTTGCCAGGGCTGAGACCTGAAGGGAGAACTAAGCTCAGCTAGCACAGGGCACCCAGCAGGCAGAGAGGCCTGCTGGAAGAACGTCAGTTCCACAGCAGGCTTGAAAAGGTGTCAGCTAAAGCTGCCAGCTGTGGTCAGCAAGATGCCTGAAAACTTGGGTGTTACAGACGTATGGGTCTCAAATGCTGCTTTGCTTCTCATCTATTAGCAGAACACTCAAGAAAACCCATTCGATACTAGCACTTCTGCTTTCCAGAGCAAGGAAGGAGGCAACATGTGGAGCAGCTGCTGCGACTTCACCCTGCAGACCAGGCCAGCACAACCATAGCCGTGCCCTCCTAAGTCCAAAGTTGGCCCACTTCCCCCACTAGCAGCAGCAAAACAGACACCCACACCTACACAAGGCAGTCTACACATCTGAAAAAGTCCAAAGCTTTGGTTCAGATCTGAAGCGTGATAGGAAACATAACTGCCTTTTTTATTTTTACTGCTGTTGTGTAAGAGGCCATTATTTACACACCATAAACCAGCAAGAAGAACAGTGCTATTTGCATGCCACTTGTAGGCAGATCTTGCCAGGCTGATTTAAGCTTTTTATTTTATTTTGCATTACGTGATCCATCTTTTGAGGGGAGGGAAGGGAAACAAAATTCTATTCAGCTTCTTTTTTCCTGACAGTAAGAAAAATTCCAACTAGACAATGAAAGAAGAAGAGAGCTGTCATAGAAAGACAAGAAAAAGCATCTTCTGCATTCCTTGAGGTTATTTCCTCACCTTTCAGCCAGAGGAAATCATCACCTGCTCCCAGCCACCATGAAATTTGCCCGTGGTAATTACCCAGGCAGGCAGAACAGGCAATCCCCACTGAGAAAGGCAACCCCAGCCATGCTATTAAAGAACAGGAAGCGTGGCAGCCACTAGGGGGGCAGAAATTTTGAAAAGTGCCCATTCCTGTGTTGAAACACATGTTTCTAAGGTAATGCGGGTCTAAGCTGGAAGGCAACAAGACTCCTGCAGAAAAGCAAAGCTTCTTAAGAACGCATTCAGCACAAAAATCAGATCTTACAAGCCGTATGTCTGCAGGAATGTTCGTGCAGCCCTCCACAACCCTGTAGCTACATAACATTCATCCTTAAAAACAGCTTCTGAAGGCCTTCCCTGGGCAACTCAGACATTTGCTAACAAGTTACCTGCCCTGGAGATGGCTGAGTGTTGTGCAAGCATGAAACCCCCAAGCACCTCTCAATAAAGACTCTGCCTGCCCATAGCTCTCCTGTATGAGATACCTGGGTCAGCCCTTGCTCCCTCCAGGGACCAGTAATACCCCAGCAGCATGAGTAGAAACATGCCAGGCATGCACCCAACCAAGCGCTGGGAGGCTGTCTTCTTGTCCACGAGGCACACAGACCTCTTAGTTACACAGATTTGGGAATACTATTGACTAACAAGCAAGGAAAATAATTTGCATGGTCCTCCGAAGACTGTGGAACCATTTAATCCAGTACCAAAGAAATTAAGCCTTACAGCAAGGCTTGTAAAAGCGGGAATTCCAATGCTCTTTTGATACCAAGTGATGCCCTCCTGCTGGCTTCGCTGTACTCTGTCAAAAGGACTACGCTGCCTAAAAGCAAGTTCATTAGCTGCAACAAGCAAGCATCTAAAAGCAAATAAAAGGAACAAAAAACCTAAAGCTTGTTCCAAAAAGGAGATAGCTATGAGAAATACGTGTCTCAGCCAACTTGGGAATTGCCTGCTTCTGAAGCAAGAGGAAGCCTGGCACACGGAGCAAGTCATTTTAAACTAGGTTTGTGTACTGCAGAAGTAGCAGCTGCTTGTTGAGACAAGCCTACTTTAAAACAGGAGCTGCAGGTCTCGTCAGACCTTCGGCAGCTCCCTCTGCACCTCCCCTGGCTGTGCCTCCTGCCGAGGGTTAGCCGCAGCGCTCCAGCTGCTTCACGGGAAGCGAGATGAGCAGCACCTCCCACGTGCAGGGCCTGTGCTGAACGGGAGCTCATTTACTGGACATTCCCTGCGTTCAAGAAGGCAACGATAAGCTTTGGGCGAGCTGCCGTCAGGCAAAGCGCACGAAATGAGGTGCGTAGAAACACTTGTTTGTTGACAGAGAAGCGTTTGCGCGCGACGTAAGCAAAACCAGGACGAAAGTGCGATGATTCAAGGGAGTTTGTCAGGCGGTGCTGCAGAACGCGGCCCGCCCCACGCAGCGCAGAGCCGGCGCGAGGCGCCCGTCCCGCCCCGCGCCGCCGGCCGAAGGAGCCCTGGGGCACCGCGCTCCCGCACGCGTCTCCTCGGCTCGGGCGATAGAACCGCCCCCACCTCTCCTCCTTTTGTTCCCCGGGCCCGCGCCGAACGGAGCCACCGCCCTCCCTCCCGCCGCCGCTTTCTAGGCCAGGCCCGATCCCCCGCGCCGCGGAAAGATGGCTCCCACCCCGCGGCCGGATGCGGCCCCGCGCTTCCTGCCGCCCGCCCGCCCGCCCCGCCGAGGCCGTGAGGGGGCGCCGCCTCCCCTCCCCCCTCGCAGCCCCTCCCCCACGTGGCCGCGCCCTGCGGCACGGGGAAGGAGCGCGCATCGCTCCCCCCCACCCCCCCCACGCCTCGCGCGCGCGCGCCCTGCTCGCCATGCCCTCCTTCCCCCCATCCCCCCAATGGCCGCGCTGCCCCTCGCGCCCGCGTGCGGCGCGGAGCGCGCCATCGCTCTGCGGGGGGAGCTGGTGGGGCGCGCGAGGAGGAGAGGGCGGGCCCATCTCCTCAAAAAGAGGGGGGGCCGCGCCCCACCGCCTCGCGGCGGGGTGGGGGGGAAAGGAAAGGGACGAAACGCAGCGCGGCCGCCTTGAGCCCAGAGGCCCGCCGGCCGCGGGAAGGGCTGCGCGACGGCATCGCGGCGGCGCTGGATGCCAAGGCTCCATCCGCCCCTGGCCGCCGACCCCCCTCCCCCCCCCAACGGCTCCCCCCGCGGATGAGGGCAGTGGGGGAACGGCGTCCCCGCTTGCAGCGCCCGGCTCCTACCATGGTGTCGGCGGAGCGGCGGTTGCTTCCCTCGGGTGTTGGGCGCGGCGCGGGCTCCGGCAGCAGGAAGGGAAGCGGCGAGGGCGCGAGCCGAGCGGAAACGCTGCCGACGTCACGGCCGCCGTGCCCGGCGGAGGAAGCGGTTGTTATGGTAGGACCCTGCGTGGCAACGCCCCGGCCCGCTCCCCTATCCAGCTTCGCGCATGCGTGCGGCCGCAAACACCACCCACACACCGGCCGGACCGGGGGGAGCGCTCCCTTCGCTTGCCTGCCCGAGGGGGGGGCTGGGCTGTCCAATCGGAAGGCGAACCGCAGAATGATTGACGGCCGCCGCGTGCCGGCCGGCCAATGGCGGCGGGCGGTGTGTGGGGGGCGGGATTACCTGCCCCAAGGTGTGTGCGGGGGGGGCTGAGGGGAGCTGTAACAGGGGCGGCGGGGATAAAAGTGGTGGGGGTGGTCGTGAGGGGAGTGGCGGTAGAAAGCCCAGGCAGAACGGGTGGGGAAGCTCTGCGGGGAAGGCGGCGTGAACGAGGCCGAGGGGAGGGGAGGGGAGGGGACAGGCAGCGCAGCCCGGGAGGAGGAAGTGTGGTGCTTTTTTTTTTTTTTTTTTTTTTTTTTGAGCGTTTTTTAATACCTACTTTGGTGCGATCTCAGTCGGCCACTGGTGATTGGCTGCCGTTGTCGTTCTCGTGGAGGGCTGGGGAAATCCCGCGAGAGAGAGGAGCGGCGCGCCGGGCTGGGGGTGCGGGCGCTGTGTGTCCGTCTCGTAGACAAAGCGGCGCTGCAGGCGTGGGGCCGCGCTGTGCTCTAGGGCTGCTAGGCGATACGCTGCGGAGATGCCATTTCTGTCATGATTCTGGGCAGTCGGGGTTCTTGTAGTCAGGCTGAGCTGCTTACAGGAGCGCCTTCTATGTTAAAAAATAGTGGAGACGAGCGTGTTTCGTTGCGGGATGCTGCCTGCAGTGCTCCCAGCTAGTATGGCCGTGCGCTGATAGGCAGAGCCCAGCACCACGCCGATCTTTTGTGTTTCCGTGCCAGCAGAAAACAAAGCGAGGCTTGATGGTGTGTTTTCAGGGCTGAGTGACAAGGCAGCACGATTTTCAAGATTACAGCTATTTTTCTGATGTTACAGCTAGCGTAAAGCACCAGTAATAAAGATAGAAGGTATACCTTGCTGCTTTTGTCCATATTGCTGTTCTACTATAGTGTAACATCCTGTTTTTTCTCCCTTACCAGTTTCCCTTTTTAGATGCTATCAGACCTGTTCACATGAGTGGTTGCATACTGAAGATGGGTGTGTTGAAAAAGCAGTCCTGTTCCAGTGGGCTCTGCTAGGGGTCCCTTTGGCCCACAGCATTTGCACCTGATGGGCTGAAATGAAGCGGCACTGGTGAACAGTTTGCTAGGAGTGGGTGGGTTGTTCCTCTTGGTGCTTTTTTTTTTTTGTGTATAATCAAAGAACGGGAGGGAAAATGATAGAATTATACAATCACTATGGTTGGAAAAGATCTTCTGTATCACCAAGTCCAACCATCAAACCATCACCACTGTGCCTACTAACTCATCTCCCTATGTGCCACATCTACACCTTTCTTGAAGACCTCTATGCTGCTGGGCTGCTGGAGCCTCTGCATGGGACTGTAGCACGTAACCTGGGCAGCTGTGCTTTTAGCTAATTGCTGTGGGTAATTTGTCTGTCATTGTTCTGAGCTTGCTCTTAATGACTTGGTTTCACTAGAAGAGAGAAGGGTGCAGAAATAAGGCATCCGCGGGAGAAGGGGAAGGGATGATGTAAGGCCATGAGAACAGGGCTGAGGCTGTTTCACCTTGTATACTTACAAGGGAAAATGAATTGAAATTGGGCTGTTGGCTCAGCCTGTTTCAATAGGACTCGTGTTTCTGGGCACGTTGCTATGAGTCAAGAAGGTATCTTAACAAGTGAGAAGAAGCTCAACAAGGAGGAGTTTGAGCAAGGACTCTCACTTGTTTCAGTCTAATGTGAAAGATGTGCTTGCTCTGGGAAGGACACATTACTGAGAACCCTGATGGCTTTCTGAAAGACATTACCAAAGACTCTTTACCAAGAGACAGGCCAGCATAGCCTGGTGAGGCACAGCACCTGTGGCTGAAGAAGCCAAGGGGCACTGGCAGCTGCCTGCCTTGTGGTGGATCCTGAGCTCTGTGGGCTCTATGTGCGGTACCAACACAGGCACAGAGAGCTCTGGCTCTGCACTGGGAGCTGTGTGCCATTGGCTGTTGATGAGTAGCAATACTGTTTGAGTTTGTTATGGTTTGGGAACCCCTGCTCCATGGAAATCCTGTGCTGCTTTTCCTGTAGGTGACAGGGAGTCTGTTTTTCCAGTCCTGAGCAGCCTGTTCCTCAGAGGCTTTGAACTAAAGCTGTCTTCTGGCTGCCTGAGCCAAGGAGGAGCTCCCTGTTTTGGAGTGGGTGACAGGGAATTTTGGTGCTTCTTTTTTTACTTCCTCTTATCATCAGTCCTGCCTTCTGATGGAACAGGGACCTGGGACAATGATGAGGAAGTTGTGCCCTGTGGTGGCTTATTGCCACACCAACACCAACCCCAACCCCCTGTGGCTTGCTGCTCTGCTAATGCCTCTTACAGCCAGCTGCTGTGATGGCATACGAGTGAGCAGAGCTTCTGTTTTCTGAGACTTTCTCCTTTGGCCACAGGATGTAAGTGCAATGTGAAGTTATTAAGAAGAAAGAAATGAACACTGCTGACTGCTACGACTGTACTGTGGAAATGTAGGTTTTCATAAAAAAAAAAAAATAATAATAATTCGTCTTTCAGGTACTTAATAAGCTTTGTCCTTTTCTTTCCCTGGTGTTTGTGCTATGAATAAGCCAGGCTGAAAGCTGAAGCGGGATGTTCAGATAAACCACCTCAAAAGGTGAATACCCTCTGAATTCCCCTCCTTCTCTTATGGCAAACTGCATTTGCAATTTACCTGAAACCTCCTTCCAAAAAATCCATCCCTCTCCCCGTGAGCAAGTCTGAGAAGTTTCAGCAATGCTATTGCTGCTGGTGACTGCCTTCTTTGGATCCAATCTAAAACACCTGCATGAGCTGCTGCCATCCACTTTCTGTTCAGTGAAGGACTGCTTCCAACCCTGCCATGATCAATGTAAATGGTCACCTGTGCACCTACAGGAGTCTAATGTGATCAATACTATCTCCACCTCACTGTCTTGCTAGCATCTGAGATGGTGACTACTTGCTTACTTTGTGTGCCTCAGCTATGTGTACTCCCCCTCCTGTCTCCAAGCTACTGACTCATTTCCTCCTCTGAAACCTTCCTTTTTTAGCCTTTCGCTCTCAAGTATTTGGTGGCTGTTTTGAGCTGCCTGTTCCATGCCTTACTTAGGCAAACCTCTACATGGCAGCCCTGCAAGCCTTTCTTTTTGTAACGCAGAAATCAGGTTTTTTTCCCCACAATACTCTCAGTTCAGTGAGGCAGTTTGATCTACTCGTAGCCAGTTTGCTCCTTTGCTGTTGGAAATCAGGGAGGCAAAGCATCAATTGGCAAAGCAGCTGGTGAGCTGAGGCTGCTGCTGCTTATGCTAATTACTATTGTCTCGTTCTTAGCCCCCTGCTTCCCCATCTGTCTGTCCCCACCTGCTGCCTTTTCATACCTTTTGGCCCTGCTCCCCCAGTTCACCACTCTTCCCGTGGCTATCGTGGAGACTCCTCTTGGTTTGGACAGCCCTCCTGGTGGCCATGGTCAGGCCCTGTCTTTATGTGCTCTCAGGAAGCAAAGAAACAGGGTGGTCTTGTTTGAGGTGGGGGCTGTGAGTTCTGCTCATGCCTGATGGATGCTGCTGTAACCAAATTCTCTCTGTCTGTCTGAAATTCAGTAGTCCATTTTTTTCATAGGGTTTATGGAATATTGGCTCTGTGCTCTTTTGGCGTCTCAAGGCTCAGCAAAGATAATTTTAGACAGGAACAGAAAGTCTCTGTAAACCTTACAGTCATAGCTTTTCGCTGGCAGAAACAAAGCAGGGAGAAACCCACTGCAGTGCATTGCTGAAACACTGAGCTTAGTAGATGCATTGGAATCAAAATGTATGGGGAAATTTCACGGGAGGAGGTGCTCCTGAAGGTGTTTCCCAAAAGTGCTGCTATGCTGTGGTCCCTTTCTGAGGAGGTGATGATATGCAGCCAGCAGTGTGCAGGAGCCTGGAGTCCAGCCCAAGCCCCTGCCCTGGCCTCTGGGGTGAGGCTAGCAAGCTGTCTTACCTCTTAGTTTCCCATCTATGAAGTGCTGGTGTTCCTCTAAGTCGATGTGTGATATATTGGAAATCAGAGCTGCATGTTGATTATTTTTACAGTAATTAAAAGGCTGTCACAAGTTACTACAGATAAATGCCAGAACTTGTATTAATTTTTAATTTGCTCTCAAGTTCTGCAATTGCTGCAGGTTGCAGTCCTTTTAATTTCCATAGAGTACAAAATGCAGGCTATGAACAATTGGAGCAGAATCTGACCCTGCTTACTGCTGTGAATCCTGGCCAGTTTTATCAACCTCAGCAGAACCACTCTGGATCGAGTGTGATGGGGAAGGTGTTCAGCTCCTTCATTACCACTCAGTGGCATTCTCACCACCAGAAGGACAAAGGAGGGAATAAAATGAGAAGGCAGCTTGGGAATAGAACAGCCCTGTGTTAATTTAAAAATGCAAGAATGTCACCAAGCTACTCTCCACCTGATTTATTTATTTCTTTTTTTCTGTTGTTGCCTACAGAGTACCTGTGTATGATGAGAATGAAACAAATCCTGCCCCCAAATCACTTTAAAGACTAACTGCTGCTCCAGTCTCATTTAAATAATCAAAATGGGCAACAAGCAAAACTTAAAACGATGTGTTGGCTTCCTGCACAGGCATGAACTGCATGTTAAATTCCCCTCTGTCTGAGACGCGGAGTGCATGTTAAGTACACTGAGGCCTTGAACTGTTCTTAGCCAGTGGGTAAAGGTCTAAGCAAAATCTCTGGCTGCACTATCTGAATGATTTGCTGTGCTGAGTGTGGTTATGCTCCTGAGCTTTTGCTGTGACACAGGGCTGTATTTGTCACTGATTTTATAGAGGGGCAGGGCTCCCGGCCTCAGGCAGGAAATCC